CCTCACCCGAGGATATTTTTCCTTTTTTTTTTTTTTTGTACAGATAGAGTAGGAGGGAGAGAGAGGAAGGGAGAGAGAGAGAGAAACATCGATGTGAAGGGACACATCGAGTGGCTGCCACCCGCACGACCAACCAGGGCCGGGGACAAACTGCAACCGAAGTACGTGCCCTTAGCGGGAACCGAACCCAGGTCTCTCCCGACCGCAGGCCGACGCTCTAACCGCTGAGCCAAACTGGCCAGGGCACAAATATCCTTTTTAAACAATTACTTCAACATCCCTGAATTTTTTTCCCTAACATATTATGAAAACTAATCAATATGAGTACTAATCAGTGGAGTGTATATACATTTTTGTCCTAGCAGAAAGAATGCTAATGTAACAGGTGGTGTATTAGTTTTGTATTGCTGCTGTAACAAATCACCACATAGTTAGCAGCTTAAAACAATACTTTTTTTTCTTCTGGAGGTCAGAAGTCTGAAATGAGTCTCACTAGGTTAAAATCAAGGTTTGACTAGGGCTGCATTCTTGTCTGGAAGCTCTAAGAAACAAACCATTTCCTTCTCCTTTCCAGCTTCTACAGGCTGCCTGCATTCCTTGGTTCATGTCCACCCACTTCCAAGCCAATAATAGGCCAAACCATTCTCACACTGTCACTCTCTGGTTCTCATCTTTCTGCCTCCCTCTTCCACTAATAATGATCTATATGATTATACTGGGCCAATCTGGATAATACAGTTTCATCTCCCCATCTCAAGGTCAACTGATAAACTTCATTCCATCTGCAACCTGAATTCCCCTTTACTATGTTATCTAACATATTCACAGGTCCTGGAATTAGGTCATGGCTATCTTTGGGAAACAATTATTCTACTTATCACAAGTGGTAAATAGAGGGAGAAGGTTGGACATCATGCTCATATTGAATCAAAGAGAGATTTATAATAAGATTAGAGAAGGCACAAAACTAATACAGCAACCTGCCTATGACATGCTTTTCAAGCTACTTCATGTTTTCACCTAAAATAAATATGTGAATATAGGTAATTGTTATTTATTCATAATTTATGTCATTAAATATATTTATTTTGAAAAAAATTGGTTTATTTTCAGATAATACCCTAAACAATGTCCTTATCTATTTAGGGGGATTTAAAAAATGTCTAATATGACACGAAGGATGTATTACCCAATTTCTAAAGACCATGCTAGTCCTTCACATTCAAATTTCCTATTGTAGATGGCCAGAGGACCTAAAGGTAACTTCATTTCAGAGCAAACTGCCTGAACAATTTTATTTATTTACATGTTTATTTTATTTTTTTGCACAACAACCTCTTTTTACTTTCTTTTAGGTTCAGGATAGTCCTCAAAGTGGCTATAACCATGATAATCAGACTGCTGAGTAAGGATAGGATGCTGTATTTATGACACAGAAAGCAATCATCCTTGCAACTAAAACTAAGATTCTTGGGGTCTTTTTGTATTCTACTTTATCAGTAATTATTCCTTACTAATTCATTTCATTAAACACATGTGGTTAAACACCTACTCTGTGCCAGAGCTCATGCCTGTCACTTGGGATAAGTAAAATCATTAAGTAATTCAATAAATATTTATTGAGTGCCTGTTATGCACCAGGAACTTTTCTAGGTTATTTAAGCTCCTAAGACAGCTTACATTTTAGTGTGGGATACTGATAATAAACAAGGAAAATATATAGATGATAATAAGTACTGTGAACCAAAATAAAGAAAAAAATAGGAATGGGGCATAATGGAGACTTAAAGTGGTCAAAGAAGTCCTCTTTAATAAGATGACATTTGAACAAACATCTGAAGGAATTGAGTGAGCCAGCCATATGAATAAGCTTGAGGAAATGATTCGAGGAGGAATATCAAGTACAGAGTCACAAAAAGCTGGAGCATGCCCAGCATTTTCCAGACAAAGCAACGAGGCCAGGGCAGTTGAAGGGGAGTGAGCTTAAAGGAAGGAAAGCAGAAGATGAGGTAAAGGAGGTAAGAGGTTAGGTAGGGAGGAGGTTCTGCACTGTCCTATACATTTCGAGAATCTGATGGGGAGGGGAGCAAGATAAAAGGATTTGAGCAAGCGGTGACAGTAGAATTACTTTCACAAAATTAGATTATTAACTTACAAAAATAAAATCTTCTTGAAGTTTTCCATGTACTTTTGGGCTTATTTTTATTTCCTATGATGCCATGACTAAGTTCCACAACTTTTACCTGAGATTTTCTTTCAGCTTGATCTTTTTCTTGCCAGTCCCACTCCCCCACTTTAAAATGAACTGTATTGGGGTAACATCAGATACTTAATAAATTTCAGGTGTACAATTTTATTTATTTATTTACTTATTTATTTTTTAATCCTCACCCGAGGATATTTTTCCAATGATTTTTTTTTTTTTTTTTAGATAGAGTGGGAAGGAGAGAGGGAGAGAGAGAGAAACATCGGGGCTGGGATCGAACCCACAACCAAGGTACGTGCCCTTGACCGGGAATTGAACCCTCAACTCTTTGGTTTGTTGACTCTAACAGCTGAGCCGAACCGACCAGGGCGAGGTGTACAACTTTATGACATCAGTATACCTGATTAATTTTTAAACAATTAATTCATACTTCATTATTCCTGGGATGCCAGCACATCAGACTTTCAAAATGGCACTTATTTTATTTTTATTGATTGATTTAGAGAGAGAGAAACACCAGTTTGCTGTCCCCACCCACTTATGCATTCATTGTTTGTTTCTTGTATGTGCCCTGACTAGAGATCAAATCTGTACCTTGACATATCTGGACAATGCTCTAATCAACTGAGCTACCTGGCCAGGGCTTCAAAAAGGCATTTAAAAACAATTAACCTGAAAGCACATTTTATCACCTAATATTTTAGGACTAAAGCTTCTATGTTTGTTTTGTAAATAATCATAAGTAATCAACTATTAAAAGAGCACAGGGATTTTATTGATGGCATTTAAAATATAGTGAAACTCAGTTTCATTTATTCCCTTTTTTGGCTCTTAAACACTCCTATACATTATTTGAGCTTTGTTTTGAAAAATAAAATTTTCTTCTGTTTCATACTTCTTTAATGTTTCAGTTTTAAAAGATCAAAACTGTGGTTAAAGATCCTTTTAATACATAAATACTGTACTTATTTGTTCCTTGTTTACATATTGATAGATTCAGCAATTTTAAGACCCTTTAGATCATTCCTACTGTGTAATTTCCTATTGGTAATACATGGCTTGTGATGTTTTTAATTTTTCTTTTCTATAGGAAACTATTTCTATGTTACTGTTCTTACATTCTTTAAACTAGGGCCATATGTATTGCCAGAATTTTGGGTTTATAAAATTAATTCTGATAAGTAGGAAGCCTAGTGAAATAATCTACTTCTGACTGTAAATACTCAGACTTTTCCTTCAGCTAACACTTGGATTTTAATACAGAAGGCCAAAATGATAGCAAATAAACAAGTTGTAGAGGATTTCAGTGCACTTTTTACTATTGTGGTGTTTCTTGAAGACACTCTCTTTCTCTGGAAAATAATTTATAGTGCTGGAGCACCAAACATTACTTCATCTACTACTACATTTTTAAAAGGATTATTTGCAGGCTTAACATGTAACAAACACATATTCTCTGGGGGGTAGTATAAACCAGCACTGACTCAACTTACCTCTATGGCAATTTCTGTATCCCCTTCTCTAAGCTAATCTTTGCAGCTCCAGATCTTATTTTTATTCAACTTATTTACTTGCTTATCCAGAAGACACTTCAAATTTAATATAACAAACTCACTTTTGTCATAAAGATAAAACTAAATCAATAAACATTCTCATTCTTTATTTAATTACTGGCAAACCTAAAATCACCTAAGTCAGAAACCTAAATTATTTTCTCAGTGGCTCACCCCTCCATCTCATTTAAGCAACCACTGAGTCTATAAAATGTATTTCTAAATTTCTCTAGATTCAGCCCCTTTCCAGTATGTTGTAGCAGAAAGATTAAGGGGTTTGGGAGTCTACCAGACCTAGGTTAAGTATATTGTAATTGTGAGACTTGGATAAATTATTTAACCTTGGCTAGTTTTCCATTTGCTAAACAAGAATACTATCTTTATTATATTGTTAAAGTTTAAATGGGATAATGTATCTATCACAGTGCCTGCCACATTTAATAAACCTTAATTGCCATTCCCTCTCACTCCATTCCTATTGCTTTAGTTTAAGCCAGTGATTTTCAACTGGTATGCTGCAAGAATTTTTAAAACATGCAATAATTGACTCTAGCCGGGTAGCTCAGTTGGTTAAAGCATTGTCTTCGTACTATAACATTTCAGGTTCAATCTCTGGTCAGGGCACATACAAAAAGCAACCAATGAATTAAGTGGAACAACAAATCAACATTTCTCTCTCTCAAATCAATAAAAAACAACAACAACAACAACTAAAAGAAAAATACACACAATATCTGATTATCTAGTCAGGACACTGACCTCTTTTTTCTTAGATGATCAAAATCAAAACTGACAACAGTCAACACTATAGCCCTCTGATGTGAATGAATAAAAATTATGCCTATTTTTTTTGTCAGGTTGGCAAAAATATATTTTTTCATGTGCTGCAGAATTTTAGTAATTAGTTTATGTGAACATTGCAAAAGTCTTTTTTTTTGTTTGTTTAGTTTTTATTTCATAATCATAAACTTAACTTTGCAATCTAGCTAGACTTGGAAAGGGTAAAGAAAATATGCCCTGGCCGGTATGGCTCAGCGGTTGGAGTATTGGTCTGTGGACCAGAGAGTCACGGGTTCGGTTCCTGCACCAAAAAAAAAAAGAAAGAAAATATGGTACCCAATGAACTGCAACAAGAGCATGAATATTATAGAACATTCCAAGCAGATGGGGGGTGAAGGGGTACTCTCCTGAGATATAGAAAGAATGCTCTGGTGGTTAAGATAAAACACAAGTCAAATTTATTAGAGTTGTCCACAGTCAGCAACGGTGATCTTGCTAGTCTTGCCATTCCTGGACCCACAGCTCTCCAGGACTGTCACAATATCCATGCTGTCTTTCACCTGGCCGAAGACCACATGCTTGCCATCTAACCACTCATTCTTGTCAGTGCACATGAAAAACTGAGAACCATTTGTGTTGGGTCCAGCATTTGCCATGGACAAGATGCCAGGACCCATGTGCTTCAGAATGAAATTCTCATCATCAAATTTCTTCCCATAGATGGACTTGCCACCTGTGCCATTATGGTGTGTGAAGTCACCACCCTGGCACATAAATCCCGGAATAATTCTGTGAAAGCAGGAACCTTTATAGCCAAATACTTTCTCCCCAGTGCTCAGAGCACAAAAGTTTTCTGCTGTCTTTGGAACTCTGTCTGCAAACAACTCCAATCTGTTTAACATAGTTTAAAGGATTAGATGAGCAGTCACTTCTTGGTTTTCAGGTCCTATACCTCAAAGGAGATGTGCCCAAGGGATTGTCATCGACAGCGATGTTGAAGAACATGGTGGGATTCACCACGGCTGGGCTCCAGAAGTTCTGGGACCGCAGCATCTGTATTAGTCTCTTTAACAACTCAAATTGATTCCATTTTCCAAGCTGTAGCCAAAGGGACCTTCCTACAAATCAAGTCTCATCATTTGCCTCTCTGTTTAAAATTTTTGAGGGAGGGATGGAGAAGGAAAGACAGACAGAGTTGTTGTTCCGCTTATGCTTTGGTTTATTCTTGCATGTGCCGGGGCTGGAAGCAGGGTGGAGGGTGGTGTGGGGCGGGTGGGGAGGTTAGAACCCACAACCTTGGTGTATACTCAAACCAACCAAGCTACCCAGCAAAATTCTGCATTGGCTCCCTGTGGCCTCTATAAGATACAATCATTTTAGCATAACATAAATGGTCTGCAACTGGACCTCCTGCTACACAGTTTTTTTTCTAGTCCCTGGTATGGGATTGCCTATTTGCCCTTTTTTGTCTTTTGCTTAGAATTTCTTTGGCGGCCAAGAGGTCACTGATTCGATTCCCAGTCAGGGTACATGCCCAGGTTGTGGGCCCAATCCCCAGTGAGGGGCATGCAGGAGCTGGCCAATCGATGTTCTCTCTCATAGATGTTTCTATCTCTCTCTTTCTCTCTCTCTAACATCAATTAAGAAAAAAAAAAAAGAATTTTAGTGGTCTCACAGGTGAAACTTTTTCTTTAAAAAAATTTTTTTTCTTTATTGATGTTAGAGAGAGAGGAAGGGAGAGGGAGAGAGAGATAGAAACATCCATGAGAGAGAACATCAGTTGGCTGCCTCCTGCATGTCCCCCACTAGGGATCGAGCCCACAACCTGGGCATGTGCCCTGAATCAAACTGGTGACCTCTTGGTGCATGGGTCGCTCAACCACTGAGCCACACAGGCTGGTCTGAACTATTATTCTTGACTCAGCTTCCTGGTCATTATTATTTATTTATTGACTTCTTATTATGTAAGAACCAGGCACTATAGTATATGCTGAAAATGGAGCTGTGAAGACCGCAGGGTTTCCTGTTCTAATAAAGCATCTGGAGAAGGAGACCAATATTTATATAATTATTTAGTTATACTTTTGTTAAATGCTATAAAGATGTAGTGTTATACAAATGTATAACAGTTTTGCCTTTCCAGTAAGGCTCAGTGGATTGAGAGTGGGCCCATGGACTGAAAGGTCCCAGTTCTACTCCTGGTCAGGGCACGTGCCCAGGTTGCCAGCTTAATCCCCAGTGGGGGACATGCAGGAGGCAGCAGATTGATATTTCTCTCTGACATGGATGTTTCTATCTCTCCCTTCCTCTCTGAAAACAAAACAAAAAACATATTTAAAAAATGTAAAACAGTCTTAAGAGGGTAAGGACTAGCTTCCCTTAGGAAGAGATACTGAAAGATTTGATGATGGCCCTATTGTACCTTTTATAATTCTCAAAGTACTTAGGCAACTGCGTTTAAATTATTGCTTTGAAAGTATAATTTTGACTAGCTAACAAGTTATAGGAAACCATGATTATCAAAAGACCCTTTGGACCATCACAAATACAAGAATCTGATCATGATGTACCAGACACTAAGTATATAACCTTTTACTTCTAGCAAAAACCAAGCTATTGCTGTTATTATTCCTATTCTATAGATAAGAAAGTTAAGATTCAAAATGAGTGGTTCAGTGATTCTTCCAAGGTGGCTCCAACCCAGGGGTTTCAGGACCTTAAGTCCTGTTTTCACCACACAGTTGTCTAGTTCTTCATTTCCAGAATCTTCTACCCTCTGGTTTCTGGCAGGTGTTCCATAAATAAATACACAAGAAATTCTTATGCTAAAGGTAGCTTATTTTCACTTCTGTTGCCTTCACCAACATACACTAGAACTTCTTCCCTTTAGGGTGATGCACGTCAAGATCTGGTTTAGGGCTTGCACCAAGAGTAGTAATTCCAAGTTGTTTGTTCAACCCCATTACTTTTTTTTTGGCCTGGCTTGCCATTAATTTCCCACACCGTCCTCAGGGGAAAAAAACCCAAACCCCTAGTGTGTCTACCCCTAGTCTGTCAAATCTTTCAATATCTCTTCCTAAGGGAAGCTAGTCCTTACCCTCTTAAGACTGTTTTACATTCTTAAGAGTCCCTTTAAGGCGGCGGGCCTTGCTCCATGCCCTCCTAACGTTCCTCCAGGTCTCAAGTTCCTAAATTTGGGTCCACAAGCAGGGAAAAATTGATGCCAGGATTTCGCGGATCACCGGGAACCCACAGAGCCACTTAGCTTCTCACTCCCATCTCTGGTCGCCCATCCTTGCGTCCTCTTGGCCTATGGGTGGCAAAGGCCGCAGATGGAGACGCCCATCCCGAGGCAGCAGCCTCAGCAAAACACTGCAGCAGGCACGGACCCAGAGACCCGCACCTCAGCGCGGGGGACTAAGGCGGGGCAAAGCTACGCGTGCGCGTCGACGTCACGCTGACGCACAGCGGTGCCAGTCCCACCCACAGCCCCGCCTGTCCGGTCGCTGGCGGGAGCACAGACCGCGAGGCAGAGGTGAACCTGGGCCTCCCTGCGTGAGACCAGCGGGCCGCGGGCTGCTCTGCCCCTGGCAGCCGCCGGAATGCCTCACTTGGAAAACGTGGTGCTTTGTCGCGAGTCCCAAGTATCCACGTTGCAATCTCTATTTGGAGAGGTACTGTGGTCAGATGTGTTCTTTTCGTGTGTGTGTGTGTGTGTGTGTGTGTGTGTGTGTGTTCAGAGGCCGTAGACCGTGTGTGTGTGTGTGTGTGTGTGTTCAGAGGCCGTAGACCATCTTTTGCGTTGAGATGGGAAATGTACATCTACCCCAGTCCTTCACCCAGAGTAACTTGTGTTAATCCCTGGAAAACTGCACCGGAAAGACCGACCTGCACTACAGGATGTTGGAACAGGACGTGATCGTTTACACGCGCCACGCTTTAGAGATGGGGTTACCCAAAGTAGCCAGCAGCAGTTGCTTATCTCTCCCCAGCTGAGCAGGATTTTGTACAACTGGAGTGTTTGCAGAGTGTTATTTATTTAAATATAAGTTTTCAGTGAGGTAGTTGGTGTAAGTCAAGTGTGGATAAGTGTTTTTTTTTTTTTTTCAAGATCAATGAGGGCCAAAGCATGCTTCAGGTTTAAAAATTCAGCGGCTTTTCCAAAAGATTAAAAGCCCTGAAGAGGTCTAGCCTACACTTCCAGACTAGCAGTTCAGATGCTCTCTGAGAGAAGAGATTAAGTGTCTTCTCTGGATGGACACATTGCGAGAGTCCTTTTCATGGACAGAAAATAGCATTCACCAATTCAAAACTTAATTTTTTTATTATAGTCTCACCTTTGGGGGAGAGACTTTTGATTTTTATGTATTATTTAGACTTGGAATGAACTGGACTTGGATCTTATCTGTAAAGAGAGTAAACGAGAATTTAGTGTTATGCTCATTATTTGCACCCCCTTCCCTCATTTCCTGGTTTGCCTTCTGAAGTACTTTATGTACTTTTATCCCCCTGGAAATGTCAGATGGCAGTCCCAGGTGGTCTGTGAAGTATTAGTGGAAAAGCACCACCCTTCTTCTAAAGGGGCAAATTAATTAGTTAGGGAAGTAAGAGGACAGTGACTTCATCCTCAGTATTGTAGTCATGCTTTCAGTTACAGTTAGCCATATTATCACTGAAACGTTTTCTGGGTTCTCTATGCATTCCTTGCCTGCAGTTGATAAACACAGATCACTCCAACCAGAAGTTCTCCTGAAAGAGAATATTGGCAAATAGAGATGAGCAGTATTAGCCTGGTATGGACCACAGAAAGGGTTTTTGACTTTTACTCTTACTGCACATCATGTTTAACAATATCATTTCACTTTTGTGCAAGGTCCTGTGAATGTGGGACATAGAAAAAACTAGTTCATATTTTTAGGCAGATTTATTTAGTTGTTCAACAACAAGTACTTAATGAACATCTCTGTGTCAGGCACTGTGCCAGATCCTGGCTTATTACAGTTTATGTTAGGGAGGTCTGTGAAGATGAAAGGTTAAACAGCAATGCAAGAGTTCAGTTTAATTCTAGGGAACGATAGGAAAGATGTTATGAAGTGGGGTACTATTAGGCACCAAATAATGGATGCAGACAAGTTTGGCAAGATTCCAGAAAAGGAGAATTTTAGTGTAGCTTGAGAACATTTGCTGAAAGACATCTTGAACTTTTCTTTAAATGTGAAATATAGTATTTGTATAGCAGAGATGCTCAGCAAGCGTGTGTTTAATTCTTGGGACAGAATTTTTGAGCCAGTTAATTGTCAGGATTGTTACATGCATTTTCAGAAAGAAATTAATGTATTAAAATATCAGTTTTTAGCCTAGTTGGTGTGGCTCAGTGGATTTAGTGACATCCCATGGACTGAGAGGTTCCAGTTCGATTCCAGGTCAGGGTGCATACCCAGGTGGCAGGCTCAGTCCCTGGTAGGTGGTAGACAGGAGGCAAAGGATCGATGTTTCTCTCTCACATAGATGTTTCTGTTTCTACCCCCAAAATCATTAAAAACATATTTAAAAAATAAAATGTATGTCTCCTCACTAGAGTGTGAACTTCTCCAAAGTAGATTTTGGCTTTAACTGATATTTATACTCTTTAGTGCATCATTTTCAGCATTTCATAGGTATGTGATAAATGTTTGTTATATGACTGATATATATTTGTAGCATTAACTTTTTGCTAGGCAGCTGAATCTTAATGTACCACAGGAGAGTCTTGGAAATACTATGTATTTTGAAATATATGCTATTAGATTTTATCATATTTTTTTTTATGAAATGAATACATTTAGGCTGGGATAAATTTAATATGCGTAACTCTCGAATAGCCTGTGAGTTTTCTAAGAACAGAGCACTCTTGAAATTCTTCTAACCCTGTGATTTGTTTACTTTCAAAGCTTTAAAATATATAATGAAGTTGCAGCTATGTGGGATTATAGTCTTTACAGAAGGGTTAAGATAAAAATGGATGCCCCGGCCAGGTGGCTCAGTTGATTGGTCATTGTCTGGTACACCGAAAT